CAGAGCTCAACAAAATCCACCAATCCATAAGTTTTCAAAGCAAAACTAAAAGTAATAATATGTATGAAAATAACCAATCAAGTAATAGCCAGTTTTTTTGTGGAAGGAGACTTACTTTGGAAATATTATTTCCAATTGAGAGAGATACAATTCATAATGAATAAGAAGGGATACACTATAACTCATGTTTATATAGAGACTAATGCAGCAGTAGACAACTTAGTCCAGGTAACATCAGCAGGTTGTTCACAGACCTTTCATTGTATTGTTGATCTTCCTAAATTTCCTAGGGACCTATTACTACTCGATCAGCAAGATATGCCATATATTCGTAGTAGATAATTTTATAGCATAATTTCTCTTTTTGAAATTTTTATTTCTTTTTCTATGAAGTATACTTAAATATACAAAGAAGAACTGTCATGGGATTATGCTTAATCTTTCTAAGTCAGTTCATAGTTTATGAATTATAGAAACAGAAGAACTGTCATGCTATTCTTCAGAATTTTGTAAGACAGTTCATAGCTATTAATTGTACCATAACCATCATGAGATTTTTGATATCTTTAAGAGATAGTTCTTCTTTTTCGGTAAGTTTTAAGTACTGTACTTTGTCATTTTGTTTTTCAGACAATAAAATCTGGAGGATGGCGGCCAGGTACTACTCTGGTTCTTCCAAATATATATATATATATATATATATATATATTATATATTGTACAATCCGTGCAACCAACCTAAATAAACTTATTTCACTTAATAAAATAAGATGCAAACTGTGCAACCCAACTACTGAACAAAATGGAAATTTAAATGAGTTTCACATGTGATAATATGCATTATTAAAATCAATAATTACATTAGCAGAATTTTTTATGGTTTTAGTTTGATGTTTATGTAGAATACCTGATAAGCAGGTGAGTCATGCTTCTAGAGACAAGAAAGGAAAATGATTGAACGTGAAACAGAAAAAGTTACTCGTAGAGGACAAGTTATGTTATTATGCAACATTTATTACAAAACTCGAAAGAGCGGTGAGCCTCGGACTGATGATCAACACACGTGTGCTTTGTTTGTTGGTTTCTTTTTTGTTTTTCTTTTCTTTTTTGTTTTTTGTACTTTACATGGATATTTATAATTATTTTTAACCACTAATAGTTCATTTTCATTGACAATCCATCTCTATTATAATCTATTTTTTACGTTTTTCTTTTATGCTAACATGTGCTGGTCTAGTAAAATATGTGTTGTTTAATACTTGTTACTGCTAGCAACATTTAGGAAAAACTATTTTCTTGAAACAAAAATATTTGGGAGACTCATAGTAAGCATATCTCAAAGTAAAACAACGCGAGTACATGACAAAACTATATCTAAGATAACCTTTTGTATTTTATAACACAAAGTTTAATTAAACCAGCACGTCTTTCCAACTATTATCCCTTTTCTCTTAACTAGGCATTATACACATTTCATGCACGAATCACGTGCTGCAAACTGGACAAGCAACGTCATTTTTTTTTTTGAAGATTAAAGAATTATATTAAAAGATTAAAGAGGGGTACTTGTACACATTGTTTGGTAATAGGCAAGCCTATGTACCTCTTCTACTTGACATCTATCTACTTTAATTAAAGAACATCTAACAAACTTATGTTTTAACTGAATAATTTCACCTATTAGAATCTGAGTTTCTACATGGAAATCCAATTCACATAAACATTGTGCTTCTAAAGCACTACAGTTTGTATATACCGTAACATTCGTAAGACCCAATTGTAATGTAGCTTCGAGGGCCAATTTACACGCCTGCGCTTTAGCTTGTGAGGCCGATAAAGCCTGTATTTGGACCGCTTTTATTTGTAAAATTGACCCTGTTGAGGATTTTATATTCCAAGCAGCACTTGCACGTCCTGTTGACTGTCGGTAGGATCCATCAAAGGTAATTAATGCTTGGCATCCTAGTAAATTCCACCCACTCAAATTAACTAAGGTACGTTGACTTCTTCAGTTTCCAAATTCATCTCCTTCTGTCTAGCCTTGTCGAAAATTTTTTGGTTCATTTGGAAATCCTCAAGCGCCAACTTCCAGACCAGATTGGGATCAAGTTGCTTTCCTTTCCAGACTTTCCAATTTCGTGAGATCCAAATCCACCAAACAAGATGGACCAACAGAGGCCAACTATCCTCCATCGGTGCTGTTGCCAACCAGTTTTCAATCCAAGATCGAAACAAGATTGGAGGTTTGGAGTCAAAGTGGCTCCTTAATGAAGACAATTTCCAGGTCTGGAGTGACAATTCGCACCCAAGGAAAAGATGATCTGTGTCTTCCTCCATCTGTTGGCATCGTGCACAAATCGGAGAAAGATCAACCCCTCGTTTATTCAGATCAATCAACGTTGGAAACACCGCCATCAAAGCTCTCCAGGTCAGTAACTTATATTTAGCAGGAGCTTGCAATTTCCACAATTGTTGCCACATATTTCGAGTAGATACTGCGACATCATGAGGATTTTTGCCTGCGATATTCATAGCTTGGTAGTATCCTGACTTAACTGTATACTATCCATTTGGATTTGCTTGCCAAATGATCTTGTCATCTTGGTCTGCTAGCTGAGGATTGATGTAGATACCTTGAATTTGTTGCATGATATTCTGGAAACAAATTTCGCAACATGCCTAGCTTCCATTGTCCACTTGTAGACAGGAGATCTTTAACTCCTTAATTTACATGAGTGGCTAGTATTGAATCTAAATGGATTGCGTTTACTTGATTTGCAATCCAATTCTCGTGGATTTTTGTGCTTTTTCCTGAGATAACATGCCATTTTGTCTGTGACCGTAGTAGCTCTGCCCCCCAAAGGACCACTTTGAAGCCCCATGTTGTATTATTCACCTTACCTAGATGTAGGAGAGACTTATGATGGTAGTATTTCCCCTCATAGATCTGAGCAATCAAGGAATTTGGTTGAGTGACTGCTTTCCAAGCATGTTTTGCCGACATTGCCTGATTGAATTCTTTGGCTGATCTCAAACCTAAGCCTCCATGCAGTTTAGAATAACATAATTGATGCCAAACTTTCCAGTGAATTCCCCTCTCCTCCTTGTCTCCTTTCCATATGAAATGGGCAATTATTTGATCCACCTTTAAAGTAATATTTTTCAATTTAAAAAGCACTTCCCTTTTTGGGTTTTCTAATTCAAGTAAAATGAAAAAGTATGTTAAAGGAAAAAAAAATGAAATTCTTAAGTTGAAGATGGCAAATAATATGTTGTGAGAAGCACCGAAGCAAACATATTTTTTAGCAGAAGGTCAGGGAATAACACACCTCGTACTCAGGAACGAAAGTCTAAAGCATCAACGTTTATGTGAGTTGCTTGCTTTGAATTTGAAGAGAGCTAGAAGGCATTGCTAGATCTGTTGATGTCCTGATATCTCGTACTGGACTGGTTGGAGATTAAGGTTCCATGATGAAACAGGCCTTGAAATTATTTTACGTTTTTTAGGTGAGTCTATCTTATTCCCTTCTTTCTTCAATGTAAGTTCAAGAAAATTTTAATATTTACAACATTTCTATTTTGTTACGTCCTCTTAGCTATTCGGAAATTTAAAAAAAAGATATTAAGGAAAGGGATGTGTGTAGTTCAAAACATATAGTGAAAAAAAATAATGATGTGTTAGTATCATAACCATGTGATTATGCTGGAACTTACCGTCAAAATTTTATTCTTTTCTCCAAAATTAGAATTTTAACAATAATTATTGTGCACATATGAATCACTATTCATCGACACTATATATTATAAACGTTTTTATCTTTTCTGTTAGTTGAAAGTATTTTTAACTATACAAAAAAATTTTTAGGGAATTAAAATTTTTAAATTTATATATAAAAATATTACACAATCCGTGCAACCCACGTGAATAAAACGAGCATTACTGAATAAAATATGGTACAACTCGTGCAACCTAAGTGCTATATAAAATGGTAATTTGGATGAGATTTAACGGTGATAGTATTGCGTAATTTAAATCAATGATTATTTTAACAGAAGTTTTATTGTTTTAATTTTATTTTTTCCAAACAAAAAGTTGAACATTCATACCAAATATTGAGTTGCACAAGATTTGGGAAATCTACTTTTAGTAAATACACATTATGATATAATTATATTTCATTTCCAAAACATTATTTTAAAATAGTTTTTTTAAGGAAAATTTAAGGCGATATCTAGCGGGAGGATCCCCATTTTATTGAAATAAAAGGAAAGATACAAAGGGCAATGTTTAAGATTTACCCAAATTAAAAAGAACAATCTTACAAGAGTTTTATAAGAACTCCGTGACAATTCTAATGTAAATTACACTATCTGTCTTACAAAGATTTGTTACACTCACATAGCAATATTGTTTAGTGTAAGTAAACTAAGAGGTATCTCACAAAAATTTAACTACTAATCCCATGGTAGCTCTGTATAAAGCATAATAAATTAAATAAATAAATCACTATCTATTACAATTCATATACATCAAATGTATCATTTAACGCATAGATAGGGGATAGATTGTTGATCAAGGAACAACAATCCATGACCGTGAGTGATGAGTATATATGAGATGTTCTTGCGGATGCTATCTTTGCATAGAGTCAGCTACACCATTTACCTCACGATCTTACTCGAACTTGTCGTAGTTGTAAATCTTCGCATTTCTTTAAGCCAAGTAACATTGCTTCAACTTCAGCCTCCAAACTTGTTCAAAGAGATAAATTCTTATTTCCAATTTCTTTTTAGGTTGCCTTCATGATCACTAATAATATAGCCTGAAACAGCTTCTCCTGGATGGGAAATACCCAACAGCCCAACCGAATTCAAACTCCCGCCCTCACCATTTTTCTCTCCTTCTTCCTTCAAAGGCTTCACTTTTCCCCTTTCACTGTTTCACTTCCATTGCTCCCTTTTCCCATTTCTTTGCTCTTAAATCTTCCATCTTTGTCTAGAATGGCGGGTGAGAATGGGATTGATGATGGTGATTCTCAAAAACTCCAGCCACTCCTTTCGGTTGATGCGGACGGCGAGTGTATGTGCTACAAGAAGACCTCAGAACTCGAACAGACCATCGGCTGCATCACCTGCGGTTTGCCGGGGCACTTGTACTGTCTGAGAGTGTTTCCCGATACAGTCAGAGAAATTGTGAAATATGTTTGTCGTGATTGCTCCGACAATGTCCTAAAATGGAGCTCCGGCCTCGCTGGCCGTCAGCGACCTGGTTGCCAAAATTAAGGCTATCAACGATGATGCTTCCATGATGGAGAGTGAGAAGGGTATGAAGAAATAGGAGGTTCTTTGCGGAAAGTTTAAGAATGGAGAAGAGGAACAGGGGAAGCAAAAAGGCAAAGAGAAGCACACTGAAGCTTTGGATCTTCTTATTGAAAGCTTTTGGTGCTCTCTCTGTTTGCAACTATGTGGGTGGCCTGTTACAACACCTTGTGGCCACAAATTTTGCCTCAAGTACTTTGCAGCTTCTCCTGGATTACCATGGGATGATCCATCTATATTGAGTACATTAACACCCCTTGGCAGAAAACCTTTAAACCAGTGTTTGTCACCCTTGCGAGCTCATATAAAATAGCATTTTTTTGTCAAAGCCCTTGATACATGTTATAATTTTTAAAATGAGAGGGAATTTCAGATAATGCAGTTCATCATGTTCCAATAAGAAGGAATACGGAATTCGCAATTGTCCTTGTTGATCATTCCAATCATACAAATATGCTGCTAGGTTGCTGCTTCAAGAGTACATGCTTGATATGAGTTGTAATTTTTGTGTATGTGCAGTTTACAAGTTTTCATGGAAGAGCAAAAAATTATTTCTCATGGCATAAAAGATAAAAATGATGAGAATATACACTCCGTAAGTTCAAATGCGAAAGTTAAAGTTCCTGAAGTTGGGATGTTATTTCCATCAAAAGAAGAGGTTCATGGTCTTTATTATTCTTATGTGCAAAATGTCGGATTCGGCATTAGCAAATTATGGCATAAAAGAGATGACAATGGCAAGATAAAATATTTACCCTGGGATGTGCCAAAGGTGGTGAGAATCTAAGGCAAAAAATCCATTATATCCTCGACCTACCATTAAATTGGAATGCAAAGCAAAGATTAATGTCACTCTTCAGAATGATGGGATGTTTATGATATCTAGTGTGTCGCTGGAGTACAACCATGGTTTAAGTCCTCCGATGTCACGCCATTTTAAGAGTAATCAAGTGATAGATCCCGGTGTAAAAAGAAAATTAGTGTTAAGTAATCAAGCTGGAGTACCTATGGCTAAGAGTTTTCAATCACTTGCAGTGGAGTACGGTGGGTTTGAGAATTTGCAAAGCTTGGAGCAGCTTAGCCTTCTTCTTCATTTGGAATACCTTGCAAACATCTTCATTGAGGCAGAACCTTAGCCACTAAACTGGCATGTAATGTGAATGGCCAGTTCATTGTGTTCAACAAAGGGATCTTTCGAAGCTACGAGAACTCCAAACACACGGTCCGCAATATCCCCTTTAGAGTTAATGAAAACAAGGTCAAATTCTTCTATTCGGGAAGCCAGACATGAACTTAGGAACTTAGAATTACCGTACATCTGTTCATACCATAAAGTTCTTCTAACAAAATACAGGTACAAATTGAGGTAAAATAGAGAAAACTGAAGGACATTTAGCCCTTTAAGGCGATTCCACAAGCACACAAACTCAAGGTTAATTAAATTACTGAAAAGCTAAAAATATTAGCTAAAACATTTTATATAAACTTGGTGAGGCTTAACTTGCAAGAGGGTATCAACACCTATGTACAAGCAATGTTTGCAGAAACACATTGTTTCAATTATCAATTCTTTGTAATCAATGAAAGAACTTCCTGTTCAACAAAAATCAGTTAATCCAACTTTGAAATATCTAAATAAAAAGGACAGTAACATTAACTTGATACAACCCGGTGAAGTAATCTTTAACAATATTATCGAGAAGCTCTAGGAGTAATCATTAACTGGGACTCCAAAATCCCAGTAACTAAAATCAAACTTGCCAGGATAAGTACCTTCAAAATCACAAAAAAATATAAGCCTACAAAGACACAACTATTAGATCTGATAGAATTTCAAAATCGATGAATAAATTGGTCTATTAAACCGGAAGTTGAACCACTCTATAAGTTGGTGAGTCTTGCTTTTAGAGATAAGAAAGGGAAATGATTAAAATTGAAACAAAAGAAGTTACTCGTACAGGAGAAGATAGGCTCTAATATGATAACTATTATAAGAATCACAAGAGAGGTGATCCTTATACTGACGATTAGCATGAGTGTAGTTTATTTATTCTTTTCTGAACTTCACATAAATATTTCTCATGATTTCAAACAATTAATAGTTGGATTATTATAAAAATCTTAAGGGAGGTGAGACTTGGGCTGACGATCTGCATAGGTGTGCTTTGTTTGTTTGTCTTTTTTTTTTTTGGTATTTTAAATAAATATTTGTGATGATTATTAAGAATTAATAGTTTGTTTTTGTTGACTATCGATCTCCATTTTTCTATATTTGATGTGTTTTTTCCTTTATCCCAACAAGTATTGGTTTAAGAACACGGGTTTGTTTAATAATTTTTCACTGCTAGCAACATTTAAAAAAAAATACTTTTCGAAAAAGAAAAATATTTCTAAGACTCATTGTAAGTATATATCAAAGTAAAACAACGGAAAGTACATGAAGAAACTATATTTTAGATAGCCATTTATTATTTAAAACTCAATGCTTAATTAAGCCAATAAATTTCTTTCCAAGTATTTTCCATTTTTTCTTAAAAACGTTTTATACACGTGTCAAGCACGGATGACGTGCTATACACGAGACATGCTACATTCTTTTTGGTAATCTTTTTCAAGATAAAAAGTAATGCCTTTTTATTGTTTTTTAGCTTCAAGGAAAAAATGGAAATTCATACTCTGAAAACTGACAATGAGATTTTAAAGGATGAGAACAAGATGTTTCAGGAAGCATGGAAGAAGCTTGTACTAGACTGGTTGGAGAAGAAGGCTCCATGACAAAAAATGCGTGGAGATTATCTAATAATTTTATTTATCTTTTCCTTGGTTTCTGCAATATAATTTCAATCCCATTTCATTCTTTGCAGGATTCTTTTAGTTTGTACTGTCCTCTTTTTTTTTTTTTGTAGGAATTAAAGCTTTCTTTCAAGAAAAGGCTATAGATATTGAAAAGGGTATAATGAAAAAGTAGTGACGGATGTGTAGTGCAATAACCCCTTCAATTTTGATGGTACTTTGCCATTGAAATGTTATCTTTCCCCCCAAAATTATACTTTTATCGGTAGTTATGTACACACGAGTCACTATGTATCTACACTATATATTTCTCCCGTCTTTATAATTCCTATTGGACAGAAATAATTTTAACCATACAAATATCTTTTTCAAAAATATAATATTTGAACTTATATATTAAAATATTGTACACTTCGTGCAACTCACGTGACTGAAACTGGTTTTACTTTATTAAATATTATACAATTATGGCAATCCATGAGCTAAACAAAATGGTGTTTCACGTGTGTATTAATGGTGACAATATTGCTTTTAACGACATGAATGATCCGGGGAACATCCATTTTCACATTCTCAAAAAAAGCCTTATTTTGAGCTTTCCATGTTTCCCAAAGCATAAACATAGGCAGCATCATATGTAAAACTCCAAAGGCAGAATGCATATTCCCTCTTCTCCACCACCTGTGAAGATTTGAAGCAAGAGAGGTTGCGCCAAGCAATTTAATCTGCATTAAACATGCTAAGTAACCCCATACCTCGCTTATCTTATGACACCCATAGAAAGTATGCTCAACTCCTTCACTATGATTATAACAAACAAACATACCGAAGGAAGAGTCTGAATTCCGGTACGACTTAAAACCTCCGGGAATGACAACAAGCCATTTTGTAGTTTCCATGCAAGGAAAGAGACACACAAAGGAATCTGTTTAATTCAAAACATTTCACGACCATTCCTCCTTAGGGTTGCACTTATGCAGCACCTCTTATGCCGTTTTGACAGAAAAAGCCTCACTAGGAGTATACTGCCATACCAGAGATCATGCTTTTCCTGAAAAACAAAATCATGTAAAGCAAGGAAAGCACTAATATGATTTGCCAGGACATTATGAAATTCAGCAAGGTAAAGTTCTTTATGATCAAAGAATTCTCTTATTGAAAGCTCCAGGCAGGGGGGGGGGTTGAAAGGCTCCACATCCCAAATAACTCCATGATGCGACCAATTATCATACCAGAAAGAACCATCTCCCCGTCTCACAATCAACTTGGTGTTGTTGACAGCTTTATATTCGATTATTGAGATGCGACTTCATGAACTCTTCTTCTTAGAAGTGTTGGAAAGGTCTCTACTTCCTTGGAGAAGAAATTCTTTGAGCTGCATTTTGGTGCAACTTTGAAAGCTAAGCCGCAGCCACAAATGAAGGAAGTAAAGTGGTATCTACCAGACCCTAATTCCTATATTTTAAATTGTGATGGCTCATATGTGTTGAATGAAGCAGGTTATGGCTTGGTTATTTGAGGAGAGGGAGGAGTTTTCATTCATGGAGAAACTGGATATTTGGGTGGAGGAGATAGCTTTATGGCAGAGGTCACAGGTGCAATTTTTGGGTTGCGAATGTGTGAGATGCTCAATCTCCGGAATGTGTGTTTGCAAACGGACAACAAAGCCCTCGCTGATGCATTGCTACTTCATTATGGATTTCCATGGAAGCATTTCTTGCCATTGCAAGAAATGTAATCTATTATACAGAGGAATGGCTACCAAGTTTCACACATATTTAGAGGCCGCTGATAAGTTGTCTAAAATTGCATCTTCCGGTGTGTCGGAATTGTACTCTACTTTAGCTATTTTACCTTGATATGTAAAAAGTTTGTTGATTTTAGATCAACTTTCTTTCTCTTATATTCATAGCAAGCCTAGATGATGTATCTTGGCTAGATCTATACTCTGCCAAACAATCTTTACAGCTATTATTAATAGAGTATGAGAGAAGTGATCCTAGGGAACTAGGTGGTATTGATGTCTATCCCTTGGGTATGGCCCCTGGGTGCATCTTATCACCTAGCACTGGATAGTTTAAAAAATAGCTCTTGGATATACCACTTGAATATTTTTTTAAGTTAGTTGGAACGTGAATGTCGCTTTTCTCTTTTTCTTACTGAAAAAAAAT